ACGTGAGTGATATACGAAGTGCGTGCCCGCAAGCTAACGTCATTGAAGTGGTGGATGAACACTTCATGGGTTGGAAGCATAAACGGCCGTACGAACAACGACCTTTCGTAATTCTCGAGTGGATTGTCCGCAAATTCAACGAGGATGAAATCAAGTACATTGTTGGTTTCGATTCTGACACAGCATGGAACCTCAACTTGCTACCCAGCCTGCTGGCCGACTTACAGCCACCCCGGCTCAGCATGCACGGTTACATGTACAAGGCTTGGGGCACGACCTACCCTACTGGTGGAGCCGGGGTGATACTAACAATGTCAGCCGCGCACGCCCTTGTCAATGCTGCTAACAGTGGCAGTTGTAAGATGAGCAACACTAACTTTGACGTCATGCTAGGCAGATGCGCTGATGCTGCCAACGTCGAACGAGTTCACGTTGAAGGTATGTGGCAGCAACCTGTAGGCACTCTACCTAAGAGCGTCCTCACTGCACCATGGGGAGTCCTTTCAGTACACAAGTACAAGAGCCCACAAGAAGTCGCTGAGGCCTTCAGTTTGAGCGGTCCATGCCAGTGAATACTCTCTTTCGGAAGAGTCCCAGTCTTGTGTTCAACGGTTGTTCTGGCTTCAGCCCGATGAGATCAGGAACGCTGCAATCACAATATTGCGAGATCGTGCGGTAGTGGTAGTGCAGGCCTCAACATCCCCACTAACTACCCAACAAGGTGTAGTAAATTGAAAGCAAAATTGACAGTGGCTTATGGTGTGGTAACGGCTCTAACTATTATGCTTGGAGGCTCCTGCTGCTGCTGATGATGATGAGCTGCTCTTATGTTTGAACAGCCCAGCCGTCACAGAGGAGAACTTGGTCCATGCAGATACCCCAGTCTTGCTGCTGCTACCACCAGTTTGCCGACTTCCTCCTCCGCCACCAAGACGTTTATCTTCACTTGAATTACTTTTATTGTTACTTTGATGCTTCGACGGTTTGTCAGCTCCCGCGACCACGGCGCCGGTTGCAGCGGCCACCCGAACGCCTTTGGAGTCCTGCACCAACTGGAATCCACTTTGGGCAAAGGCATCATTCTCATCTTGAGGATCGAATAAGTGGTTGGGAGTGAGTGGACCTAAACCCAGGAGAGATATACTCGCCCTCCTAATGCTGCTGCTCTCGCTCACCAGTCGTCGCGTTAGAATTAGTAGTCTTCCTAGAGGAAAGGTGTCCGTCACCAGCAGCGTCACCAGGGACTGTGCAGTGGTCAGTAGTGCTAGACAAAAGGGCTACTGGTGGTCGCAACGGCCGTGCAGGCGCAACAGGCTTGAACGGCTGGAACTTCTCATCGAGATCCTCATCCTCAGGGCAGCTGAAGGCGCTCACAGACAGTCTTCCTCGCCCCCCGCCCTCCCGCGACGTTGAAGAAGACATGCCGCCTTCTTGGGCTGTGGTGGCTGGAGACCCTTCTGGAGTAATTGTGGGTGTTAAAAGGCGTGCAGAGAGTGGCCGCACCTGAACACAGAGCAGCATGGCAGCGAGGGGGCCCACACAAGACGGCCTACTGCGCTCGCAGGCGGGTTAATGCAGTCAATAAAAAGGAATCTTATAAGTCCAGCTATCGCCAACTCATCACCATGATAGACCTCAACCTCAGCATCATTCTGACCTGACCGACACCACCACTGCCAGCAACAAGCCTTCTAGGTTGTGGACTCACTCAAGAAGTGCCTCTTTGGCTTCTCTCCTCCTCCTCCACCACCCTCAATCAATGTTATTCCGTTGCAAGATAGGCACTTCAACTTGAAGGCATAATGCCTGGCATCCCCCTCGGTAGGCCCTTGAGGATCTCTCCTTATGGGCCTTATCTCAAAGTGTTCCCTCGACACAGCATTGTACTCCCCTTTCAACAACTGCCATAACAGCTGAGGCTGTCTACTCCTCCCCACCAACAGAGGCACATCCGTAGACCGATGCTCAATCTCCATACCACTACCACCGCAGTCGCCTCCCCCTTCATCACTTCGAATCTCCAGCACGCACACACAAGGCTGT